GAGCAGGGCGGCAAACAACGAAAAGCAACAGATAATTGTAATCTCGATTTCCGATTGTTCCGTTTGCGTGCGCGAAGTTACGTTGTGCGTTGGCGCGGCAGCTCCTGTCGTTGCTAAGCGTGGCCGTGTTACGTACGTGTAGCGTGTTAGTGTTGTCACCTTTGTATTATCAATAAACGCCGCATAAGTTAGTGAGAGCTTTGCGCGAGCTGGGCCGTGGGCGTGGTCGATGTGGTAGAGCCTTGTGGGCTCCGAATGGGAAACCCCCCCCCGTTGATACGGTAAAGCGAAGAGACTGCCAGTCTACGTACGCAGTGTTCGCTCGCAGTGTTTACCCCCCCCCCCCCGGTATGTTGCTCTCTTCCGTGCTCTTGACCGAGCAAGACTTCACCGCGCGTTCTAAAATGAGCCGAGTGCTTACCAGACGCTACAGTGTTTTACGTGTTAGGCAGCTGCGCTATCATGGTAGACGTCCCCCCCCTTTACAAAGCGCATGGGCAGTAACTGTGAAGTCTGTCGCAACTGTAACGCCCCGCTCCCCCCTGTGTAGACACCAATGCGCAATCTAGAATAGGTGGCTTCCTGGGACGTCTACCGTGCTGATAGACAGCCTGCTTGTACACTGTAGGGCTATAATATATATATATATATATGTGTGTGTGTGTGTGTGTGTGTGTGTGTGTCTGTGTCTTCCCCCCAAACTGACCATGCCAGCCTTTCCACGCATTTGCCAGGGAATCGCGCGGCGTTGGATCTTCTACGTCTATATTATCTAGCACTCTGTTAAACGAGTTATTATATGATTATGTACGTATGTTATCGGCGTCATCATTACTGTTACGTACGGAATACCGCGGTGTAGTCTGTGCCGTTACCTTTGATCCTCCTTATGAACCCATTTCTTTTACACACTTGTATCGGATTTTGCAACAACCGCTTATTTGCATTTTACGTCCGAATATCGCGCACGCGTGGATCGGACGTTATCGTGTTTTGTTTCGCTGTAAAATATCGGATAGTAGACCCTAAGTAAACGACAAGCACTATTTAAACGTCTCTCGTTTTGTCTTTGTTCTCGTTTTCGTGAAAGCGCTGTCCACTCATTACAAAACACAAAAATAAAATTTATCACAAAAAGATATGTCGTACTTTGCTTCACGGTTGACAGGGGCGAGGGCGCCACTTTCGTTAGCCTGACGCTCAAACGTACTGTGCTCTCTTACAGTGCCCGCCGCAGACACATTTTATAATTTCACATATGAAATTACATGATATTACAAAATTTGACACAATTCACCTTCAATGAAATAAGAAGCACAATGAAATACATTTTACAAATTTATTTTATGTACAAATATTTTATAATGATACATCCATAATTATATGTACAACTTAGGCATTTGAGCTAACGAGTACTCACTCAAAGCATGACAAATTTTAGATGATAATAGTTTACACTTTACTGGACGTACACCGCTTTAATGAAATGTGTCAAGTTTATGCCATTAATTACACATTATTGGGATAGTACGAGGTTATTGTTGCTTTACTACACTATTCTCTGCCACTAGCAAATGCATTCACCCCTTCCCCCACATGTAGCAAACCAATTTCCTTAGTGCATGTCAGAGAGTACATAAGGCCTACTGGAAAACTTATACTCGGCTAAACTGAAAGGGAGCGATATCGTAATAAACTCGCCTAGCTTCAGAATGCAATACTAGTACAGATCAGAGCGAGAGTAAAATTGAATAGAGTAAGCTAAACCTGCATAGTAGATCGTATACACTCGTATACACATATATAGACTCATACACATGTACATAGACGTACATACTGACTCATGGTTAAACACAGAATTGTGTATTAAACAGTGGTGAAGATGGAGGCTGAGGAGGAGGAGGTGCCGATGGAGATAGCAGGTGAGCGTGCGTGCTAGCCGCGCGGCGCGGCGTGACGCCCGGGGAGCGTGGGTTTACTCGTGGCGCGGCGAAGCAAGATATTGACAGCTTGACACTTTCCTTGGAAAGATTTGTGAGATTGGTCGATCAAGCTAAACCGATATGTATGTGCCATCCAGTGAAAAAAATACACGGGGGCTCGGGGCGATTTAGCCCCCGAAATGCCAAAAAGAGCCCCCGTAAATTTGCATAGAGTTCAATGCAAACCAAATTTTAGAGTGCTATTTTCATGCACGCGAGCTTGAAAAGTAGCCCCAGAAAAATCAATTATATTTTTTTCCCTGGTGCCACAGTGTATGCGTCCCATGCGTGCATGCGTGCCATGCGCCATGCGCGTAAATTCCATGCGTGCATGCGTGCCATGCGTGCTGTGTGCCATGCGCGTAAATTCCAACTTTGCGGCACTTTCGAAATGTCTGCAGCACTTTGTTTCTAAGCAACGTTTTGGAGTGCCTCTATTGCAATACTGACTAGAGCTGCGTCTCAATGCTACCAGGCAGATAGGTTGACTGTGCGTACCTGCACTCCACTACGTTTGCAAGCGGAAGTAAAAGCGAAGGCGAAACGGCGACGAGACGTTTCCGCGCGCGCGCCTAGAATTAGTCGATTCGCGGGTTGCCGACGGAAGTACCGACGTCCGCGCTCGTTTGTCGATCGTTGCAGATGCGGATGCTACGGAGGATGCGGGGGATGAGTGCTACAGCATCACGTCGGAGATGAAGGCGGTTGAGGCGGCGCTGCAGGACGTCATTGACTCTCCGCATGACAACGATAAGCGAGAGTGGCTCTTCGATCGAATTCTACGCGTCAAGGTCAAGCGGGAAAACCAGCTGCAGCAAGTAATATCCGACAATCGGCAGCTGACGAAGGTACGTGGGTGCGCGCGCGTGGGCGGGTCACGGAGTATAGGAGGCGTGTAGCGGGAGATGTTAATTTGATGAAAATGATAGTCGTGCTTATTTATGGAGAGTTATTAAGTGCATTGTTTATTTAATTGATTTTCATGTTTTTTTGTTGTTGCACTGAACGTATTGTAGCTGACAGTGTCACCAAGTATTTTCTAAATTTCACAAATTTGAGTACGAAACGATTGCCTGTCAAGCTGGATGAAGTGTTGGAGCAAATCTCAATACACTACAACAGGACACGGCACGCCATGGCATGATACTACATGATGCACCACGCCACGGCATGACATGACACAACATGGCACACCACACCACAGCATGACATGACGCACCACACCATGACATGACATGATACTACATGGCACACCACACCACGGCATGACATGATGCACCACACCATGACATGACATGACACTACATGGCGCACCCCTCCACAGCATGACATGACACAACATGATGCACCACGCCATGACATGACACCATACCACACGACACGATATGACACAAAACAAAAGAACACGACAACGCGACGTGACATGACACGACACAGAATAACGCAACACGATGATGCGACGCGACTAAACGACACGACACGATGCAAACAAGACAGCACACAACAACAGCAACAACGCTACAGCGTCTCTCTCCTCTCCCACCAGGAGATCGCCAGGCTGAGAGCCAGTACGGGCAGGCGGCGGGGCGGCGGTGGTGCGACCCCGCCCGCGGCCCCGCCCGACAACGACGTGCAGCAGCAGCAGCAGCAGCAGGACTGGGAGCGGGTGACTGAGCGTCTGCAGGCGGAGAATCAAAGCCTCGTCGCCGAGAACACACGGCTGCAGGCGGCCGTCGCCGAGATGGCCGAGACGATCGAGCATCTGTCCGTTGCCGCCGGCAATGCGCGTAGCAACGGCGACGCCTAGAAACGACGGCGGAGGCGTCTGTGTGCGTGAGTGAGTCGTAGGCTTGTCGCGGTAGTGTGCGTGACATTTGTTGCTGTAAGCTTCGTGCGGAGTATGGTAGGGTGAGGAGTGGGGTCGGGTGCATTCGGAAAGGTATACTCGATAATTCGACCGGCGTTGTGTGCGAGAGTCCGCGATGGTATGGTATGCTCTTTTAAACATTTATTTGTTTTTACGGACAAGTGTAAATACCAAACCATATTACACTTATTACTTAGTAATGTGCAAACGAGCTTAAGTGTGCTGTCAGCGAAAGCCAATGCGGAAATTATTTGGGTTATGCATGCAATGTTTGTGTGATGCAATACTACACAATGCTTCGAACAGTTAACTCTGGAAACGGGGTTGTTTAAAATGATTTTTGAAATAAGATTATGGACGCTCAATATCCGTGTGAGCTAACTTTACGCTATTAATAATGCTTTTATGAAGTGTAACTTCTAAAAATTCATTTTTGCATAGTCAACTGTTTTGTTTGCGATGCATTGCTAGCCAAAAGCCAGGTTAAGCTACTGCCATGTGATGATATCACAGTCCACCTGACTTAGCCATTGTGGATATGTGCTGCCACCTGGACAAGATCATGATAACGAAGGTGGTAGGGTGCAGATTGTGAGTTGTTTTAATTTGCCGTCTTGTGTTCATTTACATTCGTTGCGCAACCACGATATGTTGAGCATTCACAGCCTGAGGTTTTCGTTCAAGGTATTTCTCAGTTAATATTATAATCATGCTTCATACACCTACCTCTGTTACAGCGAAGGATTTGCTGAAATATGGCACATCTTAATTCTTGTCGGACATAATGCCTAAGATAAAATATTGCTTGTTTCCCCTTTACCGACCGACTCGCCAAAACGCCGCTACTCGACACATTTTATTGGCCGATTAAAACAAAACAAAAATTATTTTGTTTCGCCAAAAATCAAAATCAAATTCGTTCCGCAAAAACATATACACAAAACAGAATATTCAATATACATACACACATTTTGTCAAAACAAAATAAAAAAGATTTTTTACCTACCTACCTACTTGGTACCCCGAGAGGCGAGTAGGTAAAGGGGAAACAAACAATTTTTTAAAGGTGGCCTAATAGAAACGACCGACAATGTTAAAAATATACATATTATGCATTTGTCAGTAAATTGTATGCAGTGTTGCCATGCTTGTTCCACCCCCCCTCACTATAACCTTCCCACATTACTCATAATAACGTGATTCTGTGTTTCCGCGTAATCGTGACGTGTTGGTCGACGCCGAAACAAGCGAACATGCAGTGCATTTCCCGCATCGCAGTGAGCATGATCGACGTCAACTAACGCAGCGGCGGCGTAGAATCTACGCACGTGCTTGGTATTCGATGCTGAATATTCGATGAAAACACATGGGTGTGTACGTGGTTCAGCTTGTGTCAGGTAGCAAGCGAAGACTGTGAGGGTTAGTTACTGTATAAAATACTAGTCATGTAGGAGCGCGGTGAATACGACTAATCGGGGAGCAGTCGGCCGGTGTTTGCAAGACTCAAGGTCAGCGGTGACAAGGATCGGTGACTCGGATCGCGTGACAAGGATCGGTGACTCGGATCGCGTGACTCGGATCGCGTGACAAGGATCGGTGACTCGGATCGCGTGACAAGGATCGGTGACTCGGATCGCGTGACAAGGATCGGTGACTCGGATCGCGTGACAAGGATCGGTGACTCGGATCGCGTGACAAGGATCGGTGACTCGGATCGCGTGACTCGGATCGCGTGACAAGGATCGGTGACTCGGATCGCGTGACAAGGATCGGTGACTCGGATCGCGTGACTTGGATTGGTGACAAGGATCGTGTGACGAGCATCGTGCGTCGAATGGAGGCGGCGGCGGCAGTGGTAGCCCTTGTTTCCTGTGTGGTTCGCAGCCTATTTATGTTGAGCGGGTTTTCCAGTGTGTGAGTGAGCGCGTGTACGCGGTGTGACATGTGTGAGCGAGCGAGTGTACGCGGTGTGACGTGTGTGAGCGAGCGAGTGTACGCGGTGTGACGTGTGTGAGCGAACAAGTGTATGTGATGTCACCTGTGTGTGTGCGCGGTGAGGCAGTGTCACGTGTCACTGCAGTGTTGCTTAAGCAATAGCAACACGATCTTCTGGGTTGTCAGCTGCACGTCGCCATGGTAACGGTGTGACTCGGGCGACATGTTCCCGGTTTGCAGTTAGCAACGAAACTGAAATAAGAAAGCATGTGATCTATGTGCTATATTGTTGTCGAAGCCAAGGGATGTAATTAAAATGGGAAATAGATTGCAAAAAGCATTGCGGTGGCGTGTTTTTAGGTGTATAATGGTGTTTGCTACATGTACGCTGTTTGTACGTACGCGCACGTGTACAGTCTAACACTTCCGTGTGCAAATGAGATTCCATTTTTCTTCTGCGAACGCACAGCTATTTTCACAGCAATTTGATTGCGTAAGGCATTCACTGTTCTTATCTGGCTGACCTCATCATGCACATCTGATTGAATCTCACGTATCTCTCTCTCTGTACATTTAAGTTCGCGCACAAAATTGACGCTTCCTGGTCAGAACGAGTCCGTGGATGGAATCCTACGTCTATCAGGGGTTAATAATGACATATTGACAAATTTGACAAATTGACAATTTGTCATTATTAACCCCTGGTCTATCACTGCAGTCCGTCGGCTGTCATACGTGGCGCCCCCTGCCGTTTCATTACGTAACCGTTTCTACGAGCAGGGCGGCAAACAACCGAAAAGAACAGATAATTGTAATCTCGATTTCCGATTGTTCCGTTTGCGTGCGGAAGTTACGTTGTGCGGTTGGCGCGGCACGCTCCTGTCGTTGCTAAGCGTGGCCCGTGTTACGTACGTGTAGCGTGTTAGTGTTGTCACCTTACTCGTATTTCAATAAACCCGCATAAGTTAGTGAGAGGCTTTGCGCGAGCTCGGCCGTGGCCGTGGTCGATGTGGTAGAGCCTTGTGGGCTCCGATATGGGAACCCCCCCCCCCCGTTGATACGGTAAAGCGAAGAGACTCCAGTCTACTGTACGCAGTGTTCGACTCGGTGTTTTACCCCCCCCCCCCCCGGTATGTTGCTCTCTTCCGTTGCTCTTGCCAGCGCAAGACTCACCGCGCGTTCTAAAATGAGCCGAGTGCTTACCAGACCGCTACAGTGTTTTACGTGTTAGGCAGCTGCGCTATCATGGTAGACGTCCCCCCCCCTTTACAAAGGCATGGGCCAGTAACGTGGAGTCCTGGCAACCTGTAACGCCCCTCCCCCTGTGTTAGACACCAATGCGCAATCTAGAATAGGTGGCTTTCCTTGGGACGTCTGCCGTGCTAGTAGCAGCCTTGCTGTGTAATGGTAGGGTATATAATATATTATATATGTGTGTGGTGGTTGTCTGTGTGTGTGTGTGTCTGTCTCCCCCCAAACTGACCATGCCAGCCTTCACGCATGTGCCAGGAAAAATCGCGCAGGCGGCGTTGGATCTTCTACGGTCTATATTACTAGCACTCGTTAAATCGAGTATTAATATGATTACTATGTACGTAGTTACGGCGTCATCATTACTGTTACGATAGGAATACCGCGGTGTAGTCTGGCCGTACCTTTGATCCTCCTTATGAACACCATTCTTACACACTTGTTCGGATTTGCAACAACCCGCTATATTTGATTTTACGTCCGAATATCGCGCACCGGGCGTGGATGCGACGTTATCGTGTTTGTCGCTGTAAAATATCGGCATAGGTAGACCCTAAGTAAACGACAAAGCACTATTAACCTCTCGTTTTGTCTTCTTCGTCGTTTCGTGAAAGCGGCTGTCACTCATTACGAAACACAAAAATAACATATTTATCACAAAAAGATATGTCGTACTTTGCTTCACGGTTAACAGCGGCGAGGGCGCCAACTTCGTTAGCCTTGACCTCAAACGTTACAGTGCTCTCTTACAGGCCGCCGCAGACACCATTTTATAATTTCACATATGAAATACTGATATTGACAATTGACACAAGTCACTCTCACTGAAAAAGAAGCACAATGAAAATACATTTTACAAAATTTTTATGTACAAATATATTTATAAGATAATCCATAATTATATACATGACTTAGGCATTTGAGAGCTAACGAGTACTCACTCAAAGCCCTGACCAATTTAGATGTAAGAGTTTACACATTTACTGGACGTAACACCGCTTTAAGGTGAAATGTCATCAAGTTATGCTATTTAATTACACATTATTGGATAGAAAAAAAAAAAAAAAAAAAAAAAAAAAAAGTAAAAAAAAAAAAAAAAAAAAAACTACGAGGGTTCATTGTTGCTTTATACACGTATTCTTTTGGCTCTGCCATGAGCAATATGCATTCACCCCTTCCACATGTAGCAACCAATTTCTTAGTGCATGCTCATGAGAAGTACATAAGGGCCTACTGGAAACTGTATACTCGGCTGAAACTGAAAGGGAGCCGATACATTAAATACACTCGCCTAGCCTACAGATGCCAATACTAGTACAGACAGAGAGAGGGTAAAAATTGAATAGAGTAAGGCTAAAACCTGCATAGTAGGATCGTATACACTCGTATACACATTATATTAGACCTCATACCACATGTACATTAGAGCGAGCATACAGACTCATGAGTGAAACACAGAATTGTGCATTAACAGCCCTTTAAAGTAAAGACAGTTGCTGTTACTCACAGAGGTTATTGTTGGATACTCTATAAGCATATTACTAAGGCATTAAAGATCTTAGGAAAAGTGACGGAAAAGCCCACACAGCAATAAGAGTAGTGAGAGTGGAGAGAGAGAGGAAGAGAGGAGAGAAGAAGCAGAGAGAGAGAGAGAGAGGAGAGAGAGAGAGAGAGAGAGAGAAGGAAAGAGCGGAGAGGAGAGAGAGAGAGAGAGAGGAGAGAGACGAGAAGAAGAGAAAGAGAGACAGAGAGATCAGAGAGAAGAGAGATCAGAGAGACAGAGAGACAGAGAGAGAGCAGAGGATGGGAGAGGAGGAGGCAAGAGAGAGAGAGATAGAGCGAGAGAGAGAGTGTGTGGGATTCACTGTGATTCATCAGCCCTCGTGCGACGCTTCTTCTGCTTGCCGCCATGTTCCATCGCCGCGTCCCCCATCGACTTGCGACCTCGCCGATCCACATCGTCCTGCGCAATCGGAGGAAAAAGTTCTCGGCTCACGAAAAATGCACACCGTCACGACTGATTGTGATTCTTAAGGGCCTTCCGCACCTGGGACATTCGGCATTTTAACATTCCACAAATTTTCGAGAAGGTTTCGCTGGACCTGTGCGAACTCGGTCAGTAGATTCATTTCATAGGTCATTCAGCATTTTAAAATGCCAGGACTTAGAGAGAATGTTTTACGGTGCCCGTTCGAACTCTGAGATCAGTACGCAGAAGGGAGAAGAAGCAGCTTACATGGTGGATCAAGGTAGATAAGCTGGTGTGTTCATCAGGTAGAGGTTAATTAGACAGGTGATGTGTTCTCACCCTATCGGTTCCCACTCACCCCATCGGATCCCACTCACCCCATTGTACCCCACTCACCCTATCGGTTCCCACTCACCCCATCGCACCCCACTCACCCCATCGGTTCCCACTCACCCCATCGGATCCCACTCACTCCATCGGTTCCCACTCACCCCATCGCACCCCACTCACCCCATCGGACCCCACTCACCCCATTGTACCCCACTCACCCTATCGATTCCCACTCACCCTATCGGTTCCCACTCACTCCATCGGTTCCCACTCACCCTATCGGATCTCACTCACTCCATCGGTTCCCACTCACCCTATCGGATCCCTCTGAGCGTCTAAGCCCGATGCTGTCCCGACCTCTGTCTCTGAGACTTTTTATGTCTGTCGCTTGCACCATGAGCTGAGTCGCGAGGAAATCCTGCCACGTAAATGGAAATAATTTGCACATTAAGGTACAGTACACAATCTATTTTCCGAAATTCTGAAAAGCTCCGAAAACCGAGTTTTTTCGTGGAGGTCGTCTGCGCAGCAAAGCTGGCGTTTGGCTTCACTGCAGAAATATTAATGTGTTTCGCATTACTCATACATATTGTACTGTACTGGTACAGCACTTGGCCTCTTGAAAACTTGGGTTTAAGTACTGGCTAGTTGCAGGATATACAGTATTTATATCTGTACTGTACTACCATTCCGAAACACTACCAGATCGTGGGGCGGCAAACATTTTTATGTAAAATCGACCGGGGGCAAGATGGTGGTGTCGTGATGTCGTTACCTCCACGTGTCGGATGACGTCAGCCTGCATCTCGCGCGCCATGTTGAAGACGGGTTGGTTGGAGTTGTTGTACATGATAGCATTCTGAAACATGAGCATCATGTCTCGCTGGAACTCCACTGTCGTGCGAATCTGCCCCGTCTCCAAGCTCTTCTTGATGCCCATCAGATTCATGGGCCTGTAGCACGGAATATAGAATCACATTTTTAATCCTGGCCATTATCATACCGCCTAGCCACTTGATTGGACAAAAATATAGGAGTTTTATAGGATCCTATAAAACACATAGGAAATTTAGGAAATATAGAAAATATAAGTCTAGGAGGTATGCATCATACATCAGAGCATTACGATCTTAAGCCATCTACGTAACGCTGTTGATTGATTATATGTGTTTGTTTGTCGAATGTTATAGACACACGGTGCGAATGTGATTGTCAAAAGAGGCGACAACTGTTAAAAACTCATCCAAGCAGATGTGCAGCCTCTGATGGCTGCAGTTCATTTAACAAACAAAAACCGCTGCTATAATGAACATATAACATTGCTGTAGTACAAGTAACGATATAGAGCAAGTGTAGTACAGGAAGACCCAAGTTAATAATCGGTTCCAAAATTTCGCAGTAATTTGTCTGCTCAAACTTCAGAGCTCATTTAACGTGGTTTGATTCGTAAGTCGCAGTTGTATAAATTATAATGGTAAAACAGAGCGTGAATTGTGTGTCTGGTTGTTCACAAAGCCGGCTACTCCCAGTTCTCAGACATGATATCGTGACACAACAACGATTCACCTCAAAACAACAGAGCTGTAACCAGGAGCCATTTCATCTGTAACTGGATGCAAGAAAACATTCGCATATCTGAAAATGAATTAAAAAAATGCAATTACCACCTATTCTTCACTCATCTAGGAAATATCCCTTTAAAATAAACCCTGTATATTTCTCAACAAGACATAACAACCATTAGAATTTCAAGCATGTGTCTACATAACTATGGTTTTAACAGTTAAACCCTTTCCAGGTACAGTTTATGCACATGTAATTAAAAGGCACGCAGCACAATTCAAAAGCAAAGAGCCCAGAGTCCATAAACTATTGCTGTGATCAAGAGTAGATAATAACACATTATGTGTGTATGTGTATCCGTGTTATTATCTACTCTTGCTGTGATGAAACAAATATAATATTCCATTTTCTTGAAAGAACTAACCCTTTCAATCTATAGGGCAAAATTGCATGAAATCTAAAGCCAAGATTCTTCACATATAACCAACCACAAAGGATTACACATAACAGAAATCTACATAAAAATGAGTTGCACATACTTGTGATTGGCGGCAGCGCGCCACACCAACAAGATGGACTTCTTCCAAGCTCTGTGCTCCTTAGCAGATTCCAAGTCCTCTCTAAAAGATGAGAAAAACTTTTTCATAACCAATGATTTAATCATTGACGGAACGACTACAGCTCCATTCTGCATTATGCAGTCACAGAGAGACAGACATTAGATACACACTGTCGATAACAGTCGCGGTAACGATAACGACGTTCGTTGAAAGAAATTTCGCGTTATAATTACAACAGTGAGTTTATGAAACCCTGGATAACTCCGGAAATTTAAAACCAACTAACAAAGGCCACATGAACGCTTCGTTTGCTTTCTGTACGTGTGCCAACTACACGCATATCAGACACACACTACAGATACAAAACACCTCTGCCATTTAACCAAGGCACAACGCAGCCGATGTTTGATGTATCGCGTACATATACAACAATGACGAAGACTTTCATACCCATGTACTGTAGAAGCAGGGCTGCTCGGTATGGAATCGGTAAACAGCTCTTTCCGCTTGCTTCCCACGTAACTGCTATCGTCGCTGTCTGCATGCATGCTATCAAGGTCCATCTCCAATCCGCTCACGTCCGGCTCCCCCCCCTCGCGGCCTCGCGGAGACAGCAACTTCGGAGTGCTCGTGGATTCCGGTTTCGGCTCTGCCGCGGTTTCCGCTTCCTGCAGAAAATAAGCGGTCGTGAAGTCGGAAGCCGTCGTCCGCCGTTGCGGTACATCAATAATCATTCGCGGAAAAGATACGCGGAGGACGAACGGGGGGAAATGGCCAGGTGAACACACGTTGAAAACCCATCGCCCGCTTATAAGCATTTTCACACGCACGCACGCGTGCTCTCACGCATGCATGTAGAGGCTCACACGAACGAACGCACGCACGCACGCTCGCACGAACACACGCTCACACACACCACACACGCACGCACGCACGCACGCGCGCACGCACGCACGCACGCGCGCTCACACACACGCTGGCACACACCACACACGAACGAACGCACGCACGCACGCTCGCACGAACAATCGCACAAACACACGCTCACACACACGCTGGCACACACCACACACGCACGCACGCACGCACGCGCGCGCGCATCTTTGCACGCTCTCGCGCACGTATGACGTCCCGACTCTCACCGGTTCTTTGTGCTTCACGCGGAGACTCCTCCGGGCGACCGGTCTTCCCCGCTTGCCGCGTCCACTGCGCTGCACCACCGCCTCCTGCTCGCTAACTTTCGACGAGACGCTGCTAGCCGGAGAGAGCGGCTCCTCCTTAACGCACGCTTCCTCATCCGCAGACACCGCGCTGCTGACGGCGTCGTCCGTGGCAACCACCTGCTCCTGCTCCTGCTCCTGCTCCTCAGGCTCCTGGACACACAGATGCACACACGCTACTTTAATATTATACGTTATATCACAATATTCATAATAATAAATATTATATTATAATATAACTACGTTAATATTATGCGTTGTGAATAATGATAAGATGACGAGATTATTAATTAGTTACAATAATATTGTAATTGTAACAATGCATCAGAAGAGGTGAAAATTTATTTTCACCTGTTTAACTGTAGTCTCGGATGTTTCCTTCACGTCAACCACTTCGACGGGAGACTCCTCAACTATCTCAACTATCTCAGCTATCTCAGCCGTGTCGTCCGTATTAGCAACGAATTCTTCCTGAACCTGCACCTCTTCTTCTCCTACAGTTTCTTCTACCAACAGCAGAATACTATAGCTGATAAACATGTACTTGTAAAAACACAATACGTTATGCGTATAATTACGCGCAATGCGTTAATCTCACTCGCCCTCGCAAAAAGATCGGCAGGCACAACTAAAACTTTATTACCATCATCTACAGAATACTAAATTCATATCAATTTTCGGCAAGTTGTATTAAATTAATGTTCACACTCCTCATATGTATAATCATCAAATAGCAATATCAAATTTATTTATATTTTTTTCCATGAAAAAAACTGTCGTCAGTACCTGTATTTGTATCTGAATTCATGCAATAAAGATTTAATAATATTAATAATAATAATAATAATAGCAGCAAACTGCTTGCTAAAATCCGCACGTTCGGTGTACCGATAGAGGGCGTACCGTTCACGGATACATCTATGTCTGCAGTCTCTTCCACGTCCACTGTTGGCTCAACGACAATTGTAGCCGGTGCGGGAGTTTCCTCTATGACCGTAACTGAAGTTTCTTCTGTTTCTATGACAATGGTTTCCTTTTCCTCGACTACTACTTGCGCTGGAGCTTCAGGTTCTGGGGAAGGCGTCACAATCGGCGTAATATCTGGCTGGCTGACGGTCAAATCGTTTCCTAAAACGATAACAACTGCAATTTGACACGTATCGTATACAAGCGATTAATGCTCATTTGTGCGTAATTCCTAACTTAGCAGTTTATACTCTATCCATGGCAAGGAATTCACCATGTAAGCACTCAAAATTTAACTGCAGTTATTACATTTCACGCATAGCCAAAATGTGACCATAATGCATTAAGTATGTTAGATTTATTTCACATAACAGCTAGATGTAAATGCAGCGTACTAAATTGCACAACTTTCGAATAAAATACACTATCCAATAATGCATTACAACACTATTGCCCTTTTCAGATCGAATGAATTTGGTTAACTTCACGCGAGTAGATAGTTGTTACTAACCATCTAGTTCCTCAGATGGAGATTCCGTCTTTATAGGTGTTGGTGGTAACGGTACTTCTACCTTGGGATGCGGTACATCATCCTGATTTTGCAAAAAAAAACGTCTCAAATTAAATCACAACTACGAGAATGCTCACAATACGCATAACCTGACCCGCTATACATAGACACCTACGTCTAATGCGGACATGATTAGGTCTTCTTCTTCTCGGGTCACTACACTACACTCGACCTAGCCACTGCAGCACACAGGACCTGACACGGTGGTTAAAAAACTCAAGGTCTCCAGGTCTACAGGGCTCTAGCAATAGGGGGCATTCCAGAAGATATTCCATAGTCTGGTCCTCCCCGCAGTCACATTCGACTAGTCGTCAGGTTTCCCACATGCAAATCCTTCTACCACACTACACTTTCTACTACATAATTACGTGAATGCCCGACATCTGATAGAAAGGTTGACAGAACGTTGATAAACGTATCAACTCGTCGACTCTTCCACAACGTAAACCCAGCTTAACATGGACGTGAACGCCTGACATTGCCTACTCACGGGTTTTCCACAGGTCTGCGAATCCTTCTACTACACTACACTGCTACTACATAATTACGCCTGACATCGCCTACTCACGGGTTTCGGCGGAGGATGGTCGGCGACGGGCGCAGGCATGCGATTCATGAGCAACGATGAGAGCAGAGGAGATTCAGGAGGTGTCCGCTGACCAGTGTCCGCCACGGTGATGTCATCAACAATGGGGGCCAGCTCGATAAACTCATCGTCCGTGACCTGGACATCCGCGGCAGAACACAGAAATTAGGGCAGAGTAGGGTAGGTAAAAGAAGAGGTAGCAAAAGGTATTTTTGTTATTAACCGATGCTGGGTGGGAAACCTGATCATCCGCGGCAGAACACAGAAACACTGTATTTTTAATATTAACCGACGCTAGGTGGGAAACGGATTGACTCTTCTTTATGTTAGCTATCATTTCTACTCTGTAATCTTTTTGTGTTTACAGTAATACCAGAGCTTCATGCATTCGTGAACGTTAAACCTGATATATCGCTAATCCTTGCCTAAACATGGACACCACATGAGCAAGCGATAAACTAGTCTTGAAGTATAAGACCAACTGTAACTCAGTAGACTTAGAAAGTGTATGGCAAGGGGGAAACACCTCTACAGATAGCGGATCCATCAGTGGCGACTCAACAGCAGAGAAACTCTCGTCTGCTTTCTGGATGATCTCCAAAGGCTTGTTAACTTGCAGTCTCTTCTTCGCTTCAGCTATATAAACATCACGCAAAGCAACTCACAGAATGCATCACAATGCTACATATTTTGTTCACAAATATCAATTTATATGACTACAAATGCGGTGTATAATAAGCATTACTTCAGTGTCTCAACTTCCTCTTGTGCGATTCAGCGTAAGAATGTCGAGAAACAACAAACTTTCCCCCAAAATACTTACGCGAAGTTGCTACGAGGCAGAAGCCCGCCATTGTACGTACCTTCGGCGCGTGCCTTTGCCTCAATAACTAATCTCCTTGCCTCGGCCGCCTCCTCTGCCGCCCGCCGCTGCCTGCAGATCTCCGCCCACATCTCAGGCAGCCGGTCATCCAGCTCACCTGCCTTCACCTGCTCCATGTCATCCTTCAGCTTCCTGCGTGTCGAGAAATTCGCATCAAATCGGTGATCAAACCCGTACGGCGAGAAATTAGATGAGGCACGCTCGCCGTTATCGCGATTTCTCGACGTGACTCACTTGTAAGTGCGCTGCTCCTCTTGCACAAGTTTTTTCAGCTCTTCTATGCGGTCCTGGGTCAAGCGTCGCACGATCAGGTCACCAGGTGTCTCTACCGTGTCGGACGGCTTCTCAACCCCTTTCTCTGCCTTTCTGCGCCTAAATATATGATTGATAACAGTATGTCCGATTTTATGGGAAATTGTATATACATAGAAATGTATAGAGATATTGTAAACATCTTATAAACGAGGATACAATCTTCATTTTCTAGGAAGACATTAAAAGCAGTGTTATAGTCACTAATAATAGTATCTATATTCGGAAAAAAATGATCACCATATCTGCTGTATAACCCTTTGTAAATTTTTTGAAATACATCCTCAAAATAAATTTATGATACAACTTACTTGCACTTTGGCGAGTCAACTGTTTCTAGGAGATATGCATACTGCATTGCGCAGTTCTTCAGGCATTATAAAAAAAAATACAACACATATAAGACATCAGAATATGCCACCTGATCTCAGATTACATTTCATATCCATATGTATGACCTAAAAATTTCGCTAGTGTAATCTATATAAATCAAACATATTTTAATAATGAAAACCTCCATAAAAATACACAAAATATTGCATAAGTATGTAATTGTAATATATAGAGATACCTTCTGAGAAAACCAGTCTGGTGTTCTATGTGGTTCTGAAAAGGGTCTAATAGCTCTGCTAACACCAACCCTAAAATACAGAGTACGCAGACTAACTGTAACAATCATATTCTATGTTAAAAATACAAGGACATGACAGCCAATTTTAGAAGACACTCCTGTGACTCATCCGACACACATTGACTGTAGTGATGGAATTTTTTGAATTCAACGAAAACCTCTCTTATATTTACAACTTATAATTTAACTTTATTTACAGCAAACTATATTGAAAATGAATAGAAATTCAATAGAATGCTCAGCTTACGAAACCGTCAGGGACACAGTGAGGTTCTTATAGAACGCTGCCGCTGCCAGAAGATAAAATTGGCTCACCAGTTCTGATCGCCACTGCGGGCCACGGACGAGGCCAGACACAGCTGTTCCCTGATAGACCACTGATCAGGAGCTGGTCTCTTCATCACATACTCTGTTTAAAAAAAAGATTCACACTCGATGTAAAACCTTTCAACGACAGTTACGAGAACTTACGACACTATCAATTATGGACACTGCTGTTTTTTACGACTGGCTTAACTATTTATGCACTGTACCTGCAAGATCCAAGATTCACTATTATTTGTGCATAAGTCGTGTATATAATATACACTCTACAATGGCAAATATAAAAAGATAAGTCCCAATGCAATTTATCAGACAGAGCACAGGGGTGACATAAACCTTGCAGGTCATCAAAGCCCACTACCCTCAAAAGAAAAGGTAAGAGCATCAGCTGCATAACATCACACATGAATACGAATAATTGGGTAGTGGCTAGCATATTGCTTATTGGTGTTGTCAGCGACCACAGCCACTTGGAACGTTTCAATAGTAAAATGATGGTAAATAAACACAACATTTATTTACTATCAAAGTCTTGACGTTTCTCTACTCTCTTTCACCTATTATTGCAACACACAAGTACACCGCACGTATGATGACAAACAACAAAAATAAAGAGCAGACCTGTGGTAAAGCTTGATCGCAAAACTCACATGATGCTCACTTCGTTTCACACTATCACAGCACAAATGCCTCTATTTTGGTATCTATGCATAGCTAAATGTTCAAATAACTCTGCCTTTTAGTACTGCCTATTCCAGCCAGAGATATCTCATGAATTCCTGCAGAAAACTTCCACTCCCCCAAAATGTAAATGGGAGGAAGTGCCCGTTTATACACGAACATTGGTGGCATGTTGCATGTCGGCTTGAACTGCTGCCTGCCTCCGAGCTCCATTTCGAGGCCGCCAAGCCAAGCCAAGCATAATGCGTGCGGGAATGATGTCACATACATGACTACCTTCATTGGCCAAAACTATCGAGTAGCGTGGTTAAGGAGTTTCGGATGATAAACATGCACTTCCTCCCATTTACATTTTGGCAGAGTGGGAGTTTTCCACAGGAATTCATAAGATATCTCTGGCTGGAGTAGCCTCACTCCCTCAGTAGGCAGTACCAAAACGCAGAGTTATAATTAAAATGTGAACATTTAGCTACGCATAGATACCAACATCAAGGCTGTTGTTGGTGTATTTGTGCTGTGATAGTTGGCGACGAAGCGAGCGCCGTGCCAATTTTGCGATCATGGCTTTCCCACCTGCTCAGTGCTCTTTAACTTTTAAGACTTTATTTTTGTTGTTTGTGCACAGCGGTGTGCGTTTGGTGTACCTGTGTGTTGCAGAGGAGCATTTGAATGGCATTTACAAGAAATTATCGGCAATAATAGGCGAACGAGAGCAGAAAAACATTAAGACTTTGGTAGTATATATACATTTCGTGTTTATTTACCATCAAATGATCAATGCACATTTTATTTCCAAGTGCCTAGCTGTGCCAGCGACGCCGACGGCGTAACACTAGGGTCTACACAAAAAGTTTCAATGTTCAATATTTTACAAAGCTGATTAGTTAATTAGATTCTACTCATCATAAGCTTCTCAGAACAGTTTACTTTTCCATTTAGGGTTAGGGTTCTAGCTCATCTAAACTCTCAAATCGTGAATTTATTTCCCAAGGCGTTATTTCGAAATCTAGCGCCACCGCCGCCATCTTTGTCTCGTTAAGTATGAAAGCGAATGGACTCCCGTACCCGTAGCCTCGAGACATTAAGATACGGCTACCGTAACCGTAGCCACTGCGTTTTATTTTTGTTGTTTGTGCACAGCGGTGTGCATGTACTTGTGAAGTTGTGTGTTGCAGAGGAGCATTTGAATGGCATTTACAAGAAATTATAGGCAATAATAGGCGAACGAGAGCAGAGAAACATTAAGACTTTGGTAGTATATATACATTTCGTGTTTATTTACGATCAAATGATCAATGCACATTTTATTTCCAAGTGCCTAGCTGTGCCAGCGACGCCGACGGCGTAACACTAACAGTACACGTGACTCGGTAAGTCGTACAAAAATAGACTTACTTTGCGCTTTATTAGACATACTGATGATTATTCGTGGTCTACTGGTGATCCTATTCACACTTTTAATCTTGTTTAGGCACTTATAATACCTTCAACAATCAACTATCATTATCATTGACATTATGTCAACAAAACACAGAAGAAATTACGTTCAGTGGGACACAAACCTCTCCGTAAATTTCCCACACAACATCGCCAGCGGGGTATTCGCCGCTCTTACAAGCGTAGCTCTAGAACGCAAAAATTTGTTTTTTTATTGTTTTGTTAATAAATTAATTGCACTTATCCACTTCTTATTTAAAAAGTATGATAAACATATGGTGATTCACGTACTCTTCTTATAGTTTGCACAAACCTAAGTAAAAATATCAATTTATTTCTACTACAAATATTGGCGCTTTTAGTCATTACCATATGGCAACACACGTTTGACGCGCATGCGCTAAGAATTCAAAACAATCATGGCCGCTGATGAACAGGTGAGCGACATCAGCTTCCAAAGAATTTTAATTTATTTCACTTAACATTCGTCTGGAATATTTAAAGTAAACGTTGTATTGGCGACTGTTGTACAAAAGCTTATATTTACTGTTCAAACAGAAATACATGTCACTGTAGCCAGGGTGATAGTTAATGTTCAGAATGCAATTGGACTTTTGGAAAGCAAAAACACCACACAACATAGTTATGATACTGATAGTAGGGCCTACTGTCAGTGGTACCAGGGTAGTACTAGTAGTATAAATATTGTTTAGCTATTTATTACTACTACTTGTTGTACTTAACAATGCCTTGTAGCATAATAAAAGGATCCTCTGTCACTGCCTATCGTCACTAACCTAGTATTTGTTTAAAACTAGCTACTCAAGTCCTATTTCAGAAGAAGGCACCTTTTGTTTTGATTAGACCTAGGCTAATTCAATTGCAGTGACCCAGCAGTGTCTACGGTCCAATTTATCATAAATCAACAACACTCATTGATGGATGGTAGACACCTTAATAAAGTTGCATTTTTGAATTCTAAATTAGCAATTGCATCTAATAACAGCAATGCCATAACACTAACAGTAACAGTAATAATTCATACACATGAAGTCAGAATGGTTAGGTATATTTTTCAGCATAATGTACAATATTTGTTTTTGATACACGTTTTAAAGTTATTAAGTTTACATCACATTGCAACCAAGCAAATCCCTGGTATGGCAGACTTCTCTTATGATGATCGTCTCTGGCAACTCAGGCTCCCAACTCTGGCCTATAGGCGAGTGAGGGGTGACATGATTGAGATGTATAAAATACTGACTGGTAAATATGATCTGAACTGTCTGACTTCAGTAAAAACAGCAGGTGAATCCGTAACACGGACACTCATACAGAAGTAACAAATCAGAACGAGATTGAACACAGGAAATACCATTTTGTGATTAACATAGATTCAGTGGATTTGTGGAACAAGCTTTCTGCAGCATTAGTAGTAACACAAAATCATCGCGGTCCTGTTGAGGCCCAGGACAGACAAAGCATTTGGAGAACGCAGGCCCCTAACCACAGTATAAGAGAATCATCCCGCCAACTAACCTTGGCCACGCGTGACATGGAAAATTGTCGAGAGCTGACATTAGAGGTTCTCTGAGGAGACCTACGGTCAGAAGAGAATCTGTGTAAATCTGTGTAAACAATAATTGATTAATTTTCTTACTGAGATTGTGCTATTATAGATACAGTATACTGAAGAAATACTGTTATTAATTTGCTATCTCGTATTATAAGTTATTTATTTAATTGCAGGAATTTGCCCAATAAATGTTGAGTCTTGATGGAGGGGTTGCAGGAGGGGAAGGGGTTCCTTGGAAAAATTGAATAAATAGGATTGGCCCCGATAACTGAAATTTCATGAATTGTCATGAAAATGCCAACTGTGGTGTGCATTTTATAAAACAACATACGGATATAGACACAAGACTTCACAAACATCACGCAATCCAGATCAGGGATCCAGGGAATCAGTGTTTTAGTATTGCTAATTTTACAAAACTATAATAAGCTAATACTGAACCTATCCTATTGTTATGAGGCATCTCAGTGAGAATATGCTGTACACATGTAAAAACATATATCAAATATATATATATGTCAAATACATACATGTAGTTTTTCACATACGAAGTAAGCGACGTGCAAGCATATTACTTACATACGCATAGATATTTTTTTCTCATAGTTGGGATAACCTGACGAAGGTTGTAATTTATATTGCACGTAACTGAGAGTACACACACGGATGTACGTATAGATTTTATTAGATTTTTATTATGGTATCCATTCGGGATACCAGGTATTGAAATCTGGTATCCCCCCGCCAAGATCTGGTATCCCATTTTTTGGATAGTAATTTCAACAATGTTGGTATCCAAAATCTTTAAATATGCAATAATAGCATTTGAAAATTATTAATATGTAATGTAATTATTATATAAAAACATGAAAACAGATTCACAGATATGCACAGACAAGTACACTGCAGACGTATTGTCTAGACGCATTGTCTGGTTCGCTTGATACAATGTATACACATCACATTTATGATCAGATAGCGTGCACTCGCTCTACGTGCACTCGCTCAGATGCGCTGCCGTATAAAGTTGATAACTCAACAACCACTCTCCCGATTTTGACGATTTTTTTTTACTATCCCGGCGGGATACCAAGCATTGAAATCTGGTATCCAACACAAGAATCTACAATTCCGCGGATATTGGGATACCACTAATTTCAACCCCTGTACATGTGCTAATTATAGTAAGCTAGGAAGATTAGACGGCATACAGAGTGCCACTCATTATTGAGAATCTTTTAAATGGGGAGGGCCATGCAGGAGCCTTAACTCACATGCTAGCTAACTGTAGCAGAACACATGAGAGTACATACACTTCTAGCAAAGTCTGTTGATTGCTTAAGGAAGGCGTCACTCTGGGTATTCGGTGATTATTCCTCTCCGCACACAGCATGCATGCGTAGATTAATTTACCTTTGACCACGCGCACGTGAGAACTACCACCAAAGTTGCGTTGGCATAATCCGTCTAGTTTCGATCCAGCTTGTGCTTGATGTACTGTGCATATCTCACTCCTGGTGTGCATCTAACGTGTGCACATGTAAGATCAACAAACCCTAGTTACATTACATAAGTGCTACTGCACTCACTACATATGCATAATAATATTCCTATACATAGCAATATAAACGGGTAACTTTACAGTTGATGACATAATAATCGGTGAGGCCAAAGAAAATACATGTTATCTCTTAAAACCGCTTTGGCGAAAATCAATATTGGTAATGTGTACTAGTTCTGTGATGAAGCCTCAAAAATGACATCCTGAACAAGCTTATTAAGCCTTCTACTTTGACGTGTGAAGCGAGCAGGAGCAACAATTGTCAGTATGTGATAAAATTTCGGACATTCTTTCTTATTCCATCATATTTCATACGAAGGAATACCATTTTTATTTGCTGCATGCACATCAGGGTTTCTTCTGAGGGAAAATAAGACAAAGGAGGTAATGGCCAGTTTGGGAAAAAACGCGCATGATGGATTCAAAGGCGGACGCTGCACGCGGACGCAGGGGGAAAGAGGGAGAGTTGGGAGGGTTCTGAGGGGTCTCTCCCAGCAAAATTTAAAAAATGTGAATGTCTTAGAGCATTTTCACAACGGCAGTGTTAAATTTGACAATGGTGGTGCGCCGCTGTGCCTCTTATGTGTAAGAAACTCTGCTGTAACTCTAGTAGGAGAAAGCACGTGAAATTTGCAGGTATAAATGGCTGCTGTGTGCCTTGCAAATCATATCACTCTGAACACGTAAAACGTTTGCGAAAAAGTAGTGAGAATGAGTTCTCGGGCAACAGTACAAAATGCAGTTGGCAGAAATTTGTGTTGTTCTGTCGTAGGTTGTTTACCTGGAAGTTCTGTGTAAGATATGCATGTTGTTCTGTCGCTGCTTGTTCAGCTGGAGGTTCTGTGTAAGAGTTGTGTGTTGTTCTATTGTAGGTTGTTCAGCTGGAGGTTCTGTGTAAGAGTTGTGTGTTGTTCTATCGTAGGTTGTTCACCTTGAGGTTCTGTGTAAGAGTTGTGTGTTGTTCTATCGTAGGTTGTTCAGCTGGAGGTTCTGTGTAAGAGTTGTGGTGTGTTCTATTGTAGGTTGTTCAGCTGGAGGTTCTGTGTAAGCAGCTGTACGAAACAACGGACGCATCTCAGCGCACCCAGGCGGAA